ATAACAGGACCCCTGTGTCCCTCCCTCAGACTGACAGTGACAATTCCAGACTGAATCCGCAGTGGAAGAGCTGGGAAGATGCTGTTGGGAAGATGCTGAGGACTCACCGTCACAGCAGAGGAAGGACAGTGCAGTCAGGCAGTTCATATCGTACCACACAGATGGAGACACAATGACAGAGGGACCAGTCACTGAAACACAGAGCTCAGTTCGGTTCTGATTGTCAGGATCTCCTGGAGCCCACAGTCGAAATGACGAGTCTCCCCCATCAGACCACTCCCAGGGCTGGTTGAACAGCCCGATCCAGAAGACGCTGCCCCGTGCTGTCTTCCTCACTGCCTGGTTCTCTCTGGGGCTGCTGATGGTGACCAGGTCAGTGTGCTGCTGTCTGCAGTGATCTCGAGCGGCTGCCCAGGTCTTGCTCTGCTTAATCAGGGTGTAGGTCCTGGAGCCCTGGCTGGAGTCTGAGAGAGACACACAGGCTCAGACAGGAGGGGCTGTGAGGGTGTGGGGCTCAGAGAGTTGGGGTGCTGCCTGCTGTTCACCTGCTGCCTCATAAAGACTTGACTGGAGCCTTAGAGCCGGTTGTCTTTACCTGTGGAGCACATGAAGTAGTTCAGATCGTCACACACTGCATCCTCCCAGGTGCCTTCAGCGTTGACTTTAGCACAGAAATAGGTCCTGTTCCAGTTGTAGTAGGTGACCTCGTCTCCACTGGACCACTGCCAGCGGGGCTGGTCCTGGTACAGCCCGATCCAGACCTGAGGGGCAGAGGAGCCCTGGGCTGCTACTAAAAGCTGCTGCAGCTGTGATTGGTCAAGCATGGTGGCCAGGTCACCATCGTCACCCTGTCTGCAGTACTGACGAGCGTCAAGCCAGCTCATTGCTGTCTTCACCAGGTAGGGTCTCCTGCTTCGGCCATGGGTGACCACGCTGAGCCCTGAGACATAAACACAGGCACTAATACACACCTGTCTGTAACTCCTCCAGCAACACACACACAGACACTAATACACACCTGTCTGTAACTCCTCCAGCAACACACACACAGAC